CTTCAAGACGCCTCCTGTATGGAGAAACTAGTGGCATGCATTGCTCAGGTGTGATTTTGGCCCATTCTTCCACACAAATTACTGAGAGAGTTCAGCTGGTGTCTTGGCTTTCCATGCCTTTTTACACCTCCCTTTCTTCATGTGTTCAATACTTTTTCCCTGTGCCATTCCACATGATTACAAATAACCATTTCTGGACATTTATGGTTTGATTTCTTTGAATGTATGGATCACTTGGGTTGTTACCAGCATCTTATTTTAACCTGCTGTATCATTTCAATGAACTGTCTGAAATATAATACCAAAAACATTTTTGAAGGTTTTTTTGAGCAGCAGCAACAAAAACCTGATTTTTTAGGAAAAATGGCTTAAAATGTTTAATTTTTGCATGTGAGCTAGTTGTTTCTTTCCAAATGGGAAATTTTACTATACAAATACTATTTGAGGTTTCCTCTTTATATTAACTACAAAAATAACTCAATAAATTGACATAAAATCAGGATTCAGACCAAACAGTAATGTATTATTGTAACCAACAAGACAAATTAAGTCAAATTACTGGATAAGCTTATGATATCAGGATGATCCAGGTATCAAAACGTAGCTTTTAAAGCAGGAATCTGAAAATGTAGTTGGGCCATTTTGAACAAATTTGACTTAATCCTCGTTTCGATATGATGGGTCACAAATGTCAAAGAAAACCAATGTCAAACAATGATTTCAATTAAATGAACACATGTGACCTGCTGACTGGGTCGTAAACTAAGATCATCAAACCTAAGGTCTGGTAAAGCTCTCATCGTCCTGACAAGGAAAACTTTAAGCACACTGGTTGGAGTCCTAACTGGGCCACAGAATAATAAGGGGACTCCCTGACAGTAGTCTGTGATGCCTGTGGCACTGAATTAGAGACCTATTTGCACGACTTAGACCACTGCCTGGCTCAAAGGAAAAGAGTTCTTGGGGGAATTTTATTTTGAGTAAAACGAAGTAAAGAAAAGTTATAAACTTGCTCCTGTTCTCTACGTCTGCAGTCATACTTCTCCTTGCTTTGACGACATCAGTGCATCAGCACAACATCAGGTTCTGTTTCACATGTGATGGGGATTTATTTGATCTTTGCTACTTGAAACCAAAGGGCTCAGCAGCTACAGTTCATTCAGTAAACCCAGTACGCTGATGAAAACTCAGTTGTCTGCTTTATAGGGGTCACCTCGAGTCAAATTATCAAGGAACTATCTTGGACTCTCAGTCCTCTGATGGGCCTTCTAATGGACAAAAACTCTGTTCCACTTAGAACTGTATTTAGGCCAGCCAAGACCACTTTCCTTCTAAATCAGATAAAAACAGAAGAATCTTCTCTTTTTTGATTTATTGTTCTCTTAACTGAAAGTATTACGCATTTTGATAATCAGAGAATGTTTATCAAAGTTACAGGAGAAGAGAGGACAGATCTCTTTTCTCCCTCAGTATGATTTCAGCTATGTTTGGTTTTTCTGTGGAAAAATTCTTATTTAACTAAAATAATCTTTATGGTTTAAGTTGATGAAATATCAATGTTTTACTTG